TAGCTCCACAGCATCAGTTACCATGGAGACCTAGCTCCACAGCATCAGTTACCATGGAGACCTAGCAGGTATCAAGAGAGACACACCTTCGTGACACTGAAAACTCAACATACCTGATAACCCACTGATCAGCCTTCTGATGTCTCTGACTGGAGTGTCTGTCTGCATATGTTGGATCTGCTTTGCAGTTCAGCCCTCAAGTTAAGTTTCACTGCTCAGACTGAAGGGGGCGTTCTTCAGTGATGGAGGCCTCTTTATTGCTCATTATTATCATTATTATTGTTACTAACAGTGTGGACAGAATGAATCAGAATCAGTTGGACGTCCCAGCGTTTGTCTAAATGTTTCAATTGAAGCTTGTCCTGGAAATCCAGCTTTAAATCATCTTTTTATCCTCCTCTCAGTGAAACCTGGAACAGGCTGTTAGAACTCTTTAAAATGTGTTCAGGCTCAAAACTGAAACGTCTTCATGACAACAGGCCACACAAGCTGAGTGCTGGTGAAGCTGGTGAAGCTGGTGAAGGTGGAGCGGGGTGGCATCCCCTTCACTCAGTGCTCAGCTCTTTACCAAGTTTTATTCTTCACTTTTACACTCCTCTTCGGTTTGTTCTCCTGCAGAACTCTCCTCCCGTCTCCCAGCAGAGCCTTCGTCCCGGTGATGTGACTCCGGCCCAGAAGAAGAAGGAGGTGGGACAGATCGAGCGGTGAGTCGATTGCAGCTACCAGCTCGCGGCAGCTCTGCTGTGTAGCTAATGTGTTCAACTACCAAGTCCTGTCCACGCACATGAAGCCGGCTCTGATTTGGACCCGATATGTTGTTGCTCAGACTGCTGGGTAAACAGTGAAATCTCTGAATGTTCTGCTGCTGTTGTGATTCTGAGTTTGTTTGTGTTTACCTGCTTGTCTCAGGTTCCTGTGTCCTCGGGCTCCGCCCACCTGCAGCTTTCAGTCCAATAAGGTCAGTGTGAACTACTTGTAGACTCAGCAGAAGCTCTAAGCACAACCTCACGTGTTTCACTTCCTGTTTCAGGAGAACATCCTGGTCTCTGAGGCTGAGCGGCAGGCAGAGCGCCCCCTACCTCACCTCGACTATTATGGACCTCAGACGGAGCTCCGCCTCCCACAGGAGGATCACCTGATTGCACTGGGAGGACCCTCATTGGCCAAGAGGAAAAACTCCGAGCTGGACACCACAGATGAGGAGGAGAATGATGTCACCAAACGAAGGCGCTACCCGTCGTCTCTGGGGATGGGACTGGGATTGCAGAGCGCCACCGAGCGAGAGGCGGAGCTTCAGGGCCGATGGCGGCAGGAGGAGGAGGACCGGAGGCTGGCTCTGCTGCTGCAGAAGGAGCTTGACAAGGAGGAGAGACAAAAGGCCACCGACAGACGCAAAGGGTCCGCCAACGCCCACCTGCTCCGGCAGCGGCCAGAGACAAGCGAGGAGGCCGCCAGCAGCTCCAGTACCAAGACTCCGAAGACCTCCTCGTCCTCCAGCACAGTCTCCAGGAGGGTGGAGGCCGCCGGCAGCTCCGGTACCAAGACTCCGAAGACCTCCTCGTCCTCCAGCACAGTCTCCATGAGGGAGGAGGCCGCCGGCAGCTCTGGCGCCTCTCAGAAGACATTGATCTCGTCCTGCAGAGGCAGGAAACAGACCACCCTGACAGAGATGTTCTCCAGTCTGAGCAGCTGAGCCTCCCTCTGTCGAAGCCTCTCTCTACCCTCATAGCTGGTTTCACTTCCTGTTTCTGCTGTAAACAGTCCTGAAGTCGACACACAGACACAAATCTGCTTTTTATGGCCAGAAGTATGTGGACACTGCCTCCATATGTGGTCATGAGACTGTGCAGCTGTCCACATACTTTTGGCCACATGAAAGCAGTAAAGGTGACCGCTGCACCGCTGAGCGTCCAGCAGGGGGAGTGGCTGTAAAGAGTTTCATGTGAATCTGCCCTGTGCCACCTCTCAGCGTTGTCCAGCTTAGCAGAGCAGATAACCGGTTGGTCAGGGAGGGGCCGGGGCCAGCAGCTGCTCAGCTTCATTCACACTTCATTACACGTTTACGCGACAGTGAAACAGAACAGAACCAGAACCAGTACTTATGGAGTCGTGGAGGAATCAACCAGACATTTGTCAATTTGATTCATCTGCTGAGAAGGACTCCACAAATCCTGAACTGCTGGAGAATCACCGCCAGCTGATCAGATCTGCTGCTGCACGTTACCTGCTGAGAAGAGCTGGAGTCTGGTTGGTCACATGTTCACTGATGTTTCCACCTGAGCAGGAGATGTCTCAGACTCCTCTCCTTCTCCTCACCTGTGTCCTCCCTCCCTCCTGGTCCCCCTTTGTTGCAGTTTTGACGGTTTCTTATTCAAATATAATAAAAAGTTTGAAAGGACAAACGTGTAAAATGTTTCAGATGTTCAAATCATAAAATACTGAGTTTGACCAAATCAAGATGTTCTGTGTTTCTTTGTGCTTCTTGATGCTGATGCTCAGGTTCTGTAGACCTGCTGTCAGACTTCTTTAGGAGGGTCTGGACCGACCAGAACCCTTCAACATGAGCTCTGGTTCCAGCCCTGAGCGACAGACAGAGGCTTATTGGAGATGGTTTCGGATCAGTACCACACAAACACTGGTGCAGAATCAGCTATAAATTCTGTTTAAGGTCCACATGTCCTTCAACGCTGCTGGGATCAGACTGACAAGCAAACTAATGTACTGGACGAACGGAACCAACCGCCAAACCTACTGGACTAACGGAATCAGCCACTGGAAACAGAACAGAACCACTGTGGCCTTAATGTCACATGACATGATTTTATTGGCTGTTCAATAAAGCACGTTGAGCAGCAACACAAAGTTCATTGTCTGACTTTTGATTCCAGTTTTGATGTAGAACAGTCTGATGTGGTTTTTAC